TGGGGTCCCTCCCACGGGAGACAGTCCTTGACGAATCTCTCCAGCGTGAGTTCATCCACCCCTCGGGCAACAGTTCTTTTCAATCTGTTGCCCCATGGACGACTTCCCCAAGGGGGTGCAGTCCTTCATGGGTTGAACTGTACCAATGTGGGTCTCCCATGGGGGCTATGAGTCCTACCCGGAAAAAACTGCTCTGGCGTGGGCTTCCCTCTCCATGGACCACAGATCTCCAGCAGGACTTTCCTCCATTTTGGGCCTCCCACAGGGGTCACAGCCTCCTTCATGTATTTTCCTGCCCCAACATGGACTCCTCCATAAGCTGCAGGAGGGTTTCTGCACTCCAATGGTTCTTTATGGGCTGCAGAGGCTTCAGCTCGAAGTCTTTGCCCTGCTTCTAGGGGAAGGGGGGGAAGGTCCTCCCCCCCTTTTTCCCCCCCTCCGGCTGCACCGAGCTTGATGACTGCTTGTTCTCCTGGACTGGAATTTCTTCTGTGCAACAACCTTCTCTTCTCTTGTTCTTAAATCTGTTATCACAGAAGTGCATCTCATTAGCTCAACCTTCGCCAGCAACAGGAAATCCCTCCTGGAACTGGCTGTCATTGGCTTTTCATAGGACAGTGAAAGCTTCTAGCAACTTCTAACAGAAGTCACCCTATAGCCCCCCTGCTACTAAAACCCAGCTACAGGTTAAACCCATGACAACAGAGAAAGGAAACCAACAGCAAAACTCTACCTCCCCCAAGAAGTGGCATCTCAGACAGACGCAGTTGTCTACAGGGCCATCCCGGAAGGAGAAGAAGGGTCGAGTTACCTCTTCCTCCCCTTTTATAGCTGGGTTGACATAACATGGCATGGAATATCTTCCTGTTTCTCCCAGGAAAAGGAAATGTTATTTAACTACACAAACCCACTACAATCTCCACCCCTTATTCCATACCATTTTATGTCACACCCATATCCCCATTATTTGCCTATATCCTGCACTTGTACAGGTCTTGTCTTCTACGGTAGTCTCATCGTTGAGCACCAGCATCAGCTTAGTTTGGGTCTTCCTCGTCTGGTGACTTTTCCTGAAACATACAACTCAGAATACAAATTAGTTTTTCCCCAAGGTTAAATCTCCTTGAGGCACACACTGGGTTTCCCCATCTTCTCTCAACTGGTGCATGATATGGGATATGATATACCCATTCAATGCCATGTTCCCTGGCCCAAGTAGTAACTAAACCGTTTTTGAAATGAGTCCCATTGTCTGACTCAATTCACTTTGGGGTGCCACAGTATTTGCTTTTCAAGACCCGGAATGGTATTTCGGGTAGTTGCATGAGGCACCGGATAAGTCTCCAACCATCCAGTGGTTGCTTCCACCCTGGTGAGCACATAGTGCTTACCTTGACGAGTCTGTGGCAGTGTGATATAGTCAACCTGCCAAGACTCCCCATATCTATACTTATCCCAACGTCCACCATACCATAGGGGCTTCACTCTTTTTGCTTGTTTAATGGCAGTGCGTGTCTCACTGATGCCAAAATTTTGCCCCCAAAAAGGCACGAACAGAAAAACTACTTAGAGACAAAGTTTGTAGCCTTCAAGCAGGAGGTATGTGTTTATTTCACGGGCCCGGGGAACGGTCAGGTCGCCCTGAACAAAACCGCTCCCCCCTTCTCAGTGACAGGACAGGATTATATACAATTTCTACGAGTGATTACAACATTCTACATGCATATTCATATAATTGCAACATCTAGTTATAATATTCATAATAGGCGGAGTCTGGACAGAGTTTGGGGTGGAGTCGTCTTTTTGGGGTGATGTTTGGTGGTTGTTCCTGTTTCTTCAGCCTCACGGGGTCACATTTTACTCTTCTTCCTCGACTGAACTTTTCAACTTTCTTGGTTTTTTGCTGACTCTATGGTGAATTTTACAAGACTTTTGGACTCCAACCCCTATTTCGCCCCTTATCTTACTTATGTAGGTGTGTGAGCATTCTTTTAGTGTGCGGTACCATCTAATCCTTAAGCTCTGGTCTTTAGCTAGGCAGTACATTCTAGTTAAGCACTGACAAATTCTTTGTGCTCTTGCTTATACCTATATTCTGAATTTAACTCTCTACTTTTTGTATTGCTATATTACACTTACTTTCTAGGCCTTGCCTGGCTTCATTTCCCCCCTTTTTCTCAAACTTACGAATTCTTTCGTCAAGTTTTAGTTTTGAGGGTGTTGATAAGTTTGTATCATTGCCCAGATTACTTGTGTCCTTGTGATTATGGAATTTAGTTGACACCACAGGCACACGTTCAGAAGGGTCAATAGGAACATAACTACTGATATGATCAAGATTGGGTGTATCAAGTAATTAAAAACTTGGGTTGCTGTTGGGGAATATCCTGCAAAGATATCCCACCAGTGGTGTTTCCCTACTTGTTCAATTTTGGTTAAGATATTCTTTATTCTTGCCGAGTCATGCTCTACTTGCCACATGCATTGTATGGTTTTGTTTACTTCTTGGACTAGCTTCTCTATGTCGGGATGTGTGAGCATTGCTTTGAGAAGGTTAGTATCCATGCCTATCGGTAGTCTTGGTATATCATGATATAAAGTATATTCTGCTTCGATTAGTTGTTGAGTAGTTACAGGAGCGGTGTAGTTAAAGTCACAACCTACAATCCTAGTGAAGTTATATATGCAAAAGTTAGTATTATTGGTTATTTCGTGACAATTATCTATGGTGATGTCACTACAAACAGTTCTTACACATGCACATCCATTACCTACATAAAATACTTGAGATTGAGTTTTACTGTGAGGAAGCATTTCAAAAGTACATACACTGTTTTCAGTATCTAAGCATAAGTCTTCTGCTTCTACTATAGCATTTTCGCAGATATATCCTAATTGTCCTTTAGGGATACATGCTTCTGTGCTAACTGATTGCCATTTATTCTTAGCATTGTCATAACTAGCCCAAACATTGTGATCTATGGGCTTAACAACAACATTTTGATGTATAGCTCCCAAAGTCAAGACAGGGAAGATAACTTTCTCCTCAGCAGCACTAATAGTGAGAACATAAGCTTCAATATGCTCGTGTTGTGGATTGTAAGTAAAATTCACTAATTGACACCAAACTTGGTGATCTTTCTCAAATTGAGTAGTGGAGTTCGTTCTTAGTATCATTTCTCTTATTTCCTGAGGTAGTGTACCTGACATTCCTTCTCTCGAGATTCCTGCTGCCACTGATTGCACCCACTGTTGTGTTTGGGTGCACTGAATAGCAAGTGCCACTTCTTTACTGATATTTCCAGCATAGTCTGCAATTTTAAGGAAATCTTCAGCAGTATGATTAGCTACTAAGGTTAGTAATTTGACTGCCAGTGATTGAGTTTCTGCCAGGGTAAGAATAGATGTACTCAAGGGAACTTTAAGTTTTCCCAGATTAGAAGTGATAGTACTTAATTTATTTATCAGTACTTCTTGATCTATGGTGTTTAATACGCCTAGTCCAGTGCCGGCCCACCCAGTCACATCTCTTTGTATTCGCTTGGGGTGTGATCTAGCTGTTAGCCATGCGTTCCAGTCCTTAAGACTTTGCTGTATAAAGGGTTGACAATCCTTTTGTAGGTGTGTGATGTCTGTTTGGATGTTTATTTGGATCTTCTTTAATGAATACGTAGGGTCTATCAGCAATTTTAATTCATTTGATTGTCTTATCACTTGTGGCCCTACAAAGGTCAAATTATGTATCCCTTTACAGCTTAGTGATGGAGTGGTGGGAGTGTTAGTGGTTCCCTCAGGTGGGTCTGTGATAATTTCAGAGGTAGGTTCAATATCGAATTTCCAGATTCTGGCAGTATTCCCACTCTCTCGATTACAGGAAACTGTTACTAGTTGGTTCAATAAAATCCTGTAGTGGTTTGAACCTTGTTTTCCCCCAGAGGCTGAAAAGTGGTAACCCCCAGGGGTGGAAACCCCTGGAAGTTTTGAAGTTCTGTCCAATGAGCGCTCCTGCAGAAATGTAAGCATATCACAAGCAACCGGAAGAGGAGAGTTGTAGTTTGGTTGGTAGAAGAAAGTAGCCATGTTGTAGGAGACCACGAGGAAGGGGGCTCGGAGCCCCTTGGGGCCTCCGGGGCCCCCCCCAGCCCCAGTTGGGGACTGCAGAGACTTGGAACAGTGTTAGACTGGGCTAAGTGTCTGTAGCTGTGAGTTGGGAGATGTTTTCTCCAAACTGGGTAGCGGTCGGAGAAAAGCAGCAGTCGAGCTGGCACTGACCGAAGAAGTGGTGGCAGAGAGCCAGAAGAGATAAGACCGAGCAACAGAGACATGCAGCACCGCAGAGAAGACTCCTGGAAGGAGAGTTGAGGAGAAGAGAGCCCGCAGCAGAGCTACGGAGTTCTGGGGGTAGGAACTGATACCAGACCCCCCAAACCTGCTTTGAGACCTCCTGGAAAGGAGGAAGATGATGGACTCTTACTTGAAAGAGCCTTGAAGTGCAACATGCACTGCAGTAAAGGAGCTAAGAAACTCAGTCGTCCTGAGAGTTCAGCCGGGACAGTGTGTGGAGGTTGACCTTGAGGCCCTCCCTTGCTGCAAACTACAAAGAAACTTGCAGCCTGAGACAGGGCACAGAGGCCCTGCAAGGAGCTTGACCCCCCTGCGTCTCGTGATATGACCGTGGTGGAGCAACCTTTGTCTGGGGTCAACGCAGCCCACGGAAGACCCCTTCGGTTGATTGACGACGGGACCGAGGAGGCTTGGATACCCCCTCGTGAGTGCTGGCAGAGATCCAACTATCAGTTGCTGCATGCATGAGATGAGGAGACCTGCTGCCTTAGAAGAGACTCCTGCTTTTGAGACTGGAAGGGATCTGTCCTTCTTTCCCTCCTGGACTTTTATTTGGAGGGGAGAAGAGATCTGATCCATTGTAAATACTATATGTCATGGTAGAGATAGTTGTGATCATGTGTATAATGTGTTATAGTATTTATTTGTACAGTCATTGTAATATATTCCCTTTCCCCCATTCTGGGTCTGGTTGTGTTTTGTCTGGAAAAACCCATCTCACATTAGGTTGAGATGTGGGAGGGGGGATGGAGCTAGAGAATTGGATTTTGGGGCTATCTCAAACCATGACAAATCCTAATCTCGCATTGTGGTTCCGGTTCTTTTTCCTTCTTTACTTTATCCCACCAACAAAAAATTGGTCCTTTTCTTATAATCCAAGCAGTATGAGCTTCACCTGCTGCGCGACTGTATGTAATTGAGAAGTTTTGTTTGGATTCAATAGTTAATCTAACTCTATCTACCTTTTCAACTGGGAATGAGATTTCACCTATTTGTTCTATTGGGGTATCTAATCCTCGGCATCCCACTTGAACACTATCTCCTTTTCACCCTAATAGAACATTACTTCTTTTCCATTGCCTTAGTGTGTATGGCTTGCCATTGAACATAAGTGGCCATAGGTGGGTGTTTGTATATGGCAGGTGTATAGGCATTAGACCAGGGCCACTCTGGGATAGGGTTCTGGGGCAGAGTAACATTTATCGCAAGTCCGATCGTACTTATCGAGAGTCCAATGGTCAACACTGCAAGGATTAGAGAGAGAGCTGGATTCATTATGTCGGGTCTTCTCGCTTGTCCTCTGGAACCTTCTTAACCCGAGAATAGTGGATCCATGTGGGTTTCTCCTTTATCCAAACTGCAGTGAAGGTGGTTAGCAGCACTTGGAAAGATCCCTCCCACTTTTCTTGTAGGGGTTTTCCTAAAAGATTCTTAACATACACCCAATCACCGGGGTTTAACGGATGCAGTTTACAGTCAGGTTGTTTGGGCCAGTGCTCTACTACTACAGCAGCATTTTTATCAAAATGTTTTCCTACAACAATTACATAATCATATATATACTGATTACCTATTTGATCTACAGCATCACTATTTACAATTTGCATAACATAAGGTCGACCGTACAGTATTTCAAATGGGTTTAGTTTCTTTTCTGATCGAGGTTTAACTCTCAACCTGATCAGAGCAATAGGCAAAGCTTGGTACCATTGTAAATTAGACTCCTGACATATTTTAACAATTTGTTGTTTGATAAGATGATTCATTTTTTCTACTTGTCCACTGGCCTGTGGCCTGTAGGGCGTGTGCAATTGCCATTTGATCTGCAATGCTTTGCTTATTGCTCCCACAATTTTTGCACAAAAATGTGAACCTCTGTCTGAAGAGATACTTCTTGGTACCCCAAACCATGGTATGATTTCGTTAAACAAAACTTTAGTTACCTCTCTCTCTTTGTTTGTCCTGCAGGGGAATGCTTCAGACCACCCAGAAAATGTGTCAGTTAACACCAATAAATATTTATACCCCCCTTTTCTTGGGAGTTCAGAAAAATCAATTTGTCATACTTCACCTGGGAAATTACCTCGGTTTATTGCTCCTTGATGTATTTTGGTTCCTGTATTTGGGTTGTTCTTCAGGCATCGTTCACATCGGGATGTGACTTGCTTTATGGTGGTGAACAATTTTGGTCCTGCTATTCTGGCCTGTAAATACTGATAAAGTGGATCTAAACTCCAATGGGTTTTTTCATGTTCTGTTTTTACAAATTGCCACAATAATTTCCCTATTATTAGTTGTCCCGTTTCTAACTGTCCCCATCCATTGTCTAACAATTTGCCTTTGTTCTTTTGAATCCATCTATGATCTGATTCCTGATAATCTGGTTGGAAGTTAGTATCAAGTTCCCCTGGTACTAAGGCTGCTATGTTCACTTCCTGAGTTCTCGCAGCAGCTAATTTAGCTTCTGCATCAGCTTTCCTATTCCCTATTTCTGGAACAGTGTTACCTTTCAGGTGCCCTTTGCAATGCATTATGGCCACTTGTGTTGGGAGTTGGACTGCTTCTGACAATTGTAGAATTTCTTCTGCATGTTTGACGGTTTTTCCCTGGGCAGTTAGCAGTCCTCTTTCTTTCCAAATTGCTCCATGAACATGCACGATGGAGAAGGCATATTTTGAATCTGTCCAAATATTAATCCGTATGCCTTCTGCCAGTTCTAGAGCTTGGGTAAGAGCTATCAGTTCTGCCTTCTGGGTTGAAGTCCCTGCAGGTAAAGGATTTGATTCGATTACCTCTTCCGTTGTGGTCACTGCATAGCCTGTCATCCTTACGCCTTGTTTCACGAAGCTGCTGCCGTCAGAGAACCAGTTGTCTGCATCTTCAAACAGCTCTTCTCTGAGGTCTGGGCAGCTGGAGTAGACTGCTTCAATGGTCTCCAGGCAGTTGTGCTCGATTGGTTCTGCTGGCATTCTTCCTTCTAGAAATGAGGTTGGATTCACAATGTTAGTGACTTGGATGGTTACATCATCCCACTCAACTAGTATCACCTGGTACTTTAGGAATCTGGAAGGTGACAACCAATGGCCACCTTTCTGCTCGAGTACAGTGGATACAGTGTGGGATACTAACACTGTCATTTTCTGGCCCAATGTGAGCTTTCTGGTTTCTTCTATATTTATAATTACTGCAGCCACTGCTTTCAGTCAGTTGGGCCATCCTTTGCTTACTTCATCCAACTGTTTGGAGAAATAAACCACGGCTCTTTTGTGTGGTCCTAACTGTTGTGCTAAGACTCCTAAAGCCATTCCTTGCCGTTCATGAGAGAACAGTCAAAATGGTTTTGTTACATCGGGCAGGCCCAGGGCTGGTGCTTTCATGAGTTCTTGTTTCAGTCTCTTAAAAGCTCCCTCTGCTTCGGGAGTCCAGATTAGGACACTCTTAGACTCTTTCAGCAAATCATACAGTGGTTTAGCGAGTATCCCATATTGATAAATCCATAAACGACACCAACCTGTCATTCCCAGAAAGGCTTGTAGATCTCTCACCTTTTCGGGTTTAGACATTTGGTAGATGGCTTCTTTTCTTGCTGTTCCTAGGGATCGTTGTCCTCTGGAAATTTCATATCCCAGGTACACCACTTTTTCTTGCACTTTTTCTGCTGAGAAACTCGATATCTACCTAAACCCAGGAAATTCAACAGAGAAATTGTCCATCTTACATACTCTTCTTCTGTTTCAGTTGCTATTAACAGATCATCTACATATTGTAGAAGAGTACTGTCTCCCTGTGGCCTTTAACCTTGAGGTAAAATCGTCCAGGTTAATTGAGTCTCCCTCCCTTTGCTAACAGGACTAAGGTAAGGCAGAAGAATGCATCTTTTAAATCTATGTGCTGGTTTAAAGGTAAACCAGCAGGGGAAATGAACTCAACTCAAAAGAGAGATTATAAGTCAGAATAACAATTTAATAAAATAATACAATAAGTATGATTATACAGACAAACAAGTGGTTTTAACCCACAAAACCCAAATGTATAACCCAGCACCCTGGGGCATGAACAGAGTGGTGTTCTTTGGACACCGAGTCCAAAGTAAAAGGAGAGGGGAAAACCTGTTGCAGTCTGGTGGAAAAGTGGTGGTTGCAGTCCAGTCGAGAGTGGTGGTCTGCGGTCTGGTTGAGAGCGGTGATCTGCAGTCTTTCTCTGGATCCCACTAGTGGTTAAAAAGGTCCCAAGACTCCAAGAGTATATATCCTCCAGTTCAGGCAGGAATGCTCAGTACCTCCCTCAGGGCGGGGGGGTTCTTAATGGGTGTGAGGACAAGAGCAACTCCTATCTCGCAGGCCTCTTAGCACCTAGTTTATAGCCTGAGGAGTCAGGTTCTGTGTGCAGATAGTGTAAATGGTTCATTGATAACAGTTTCTGGGAAATGGCATGGAAGGCTATAGGATACACAGTTTTGGGATACACCCATCCAGTGATGAACTGGTCTCAACTGTCCTAACTAGGACATTATCCACCCCTTATTCTATGCCATCCATGTCATGCCCAAATTAACCCCCTTTAAAAACTATATCCCTTTAAAACTATATACATATATATATATATATACAATGAAACACTATAGACCATTCTCACTCAAAATTAGGTCCCCTTGTGGTACACAACATGCCTCCCCATCTTTTTGCATTACCCACCAAGTGAAACCAGGTCCTTGAGCAAAAACAATCCCTTGGATGTGTTTGCCTTTGCTTGAGGTGGGACTAATCCAAACAGTCTTTCCTAACATACCTCTCATATGCACCACGGGGACTTTATCTCCATCTAAAGTATGCAAAGGTTCTGATTGGGCAGGACCAGTTCAACTGATGGAACCTCGGGTGTTGACCAACCAGGTGGCCTTTGCTAAATGCAGCTCCCAATGTTTGAAAGTCCCCCTTTCCAGTGCCTTCAGGGTGGTTTTCAGCAGTCCGTTGCACCGCTCAACTTTCCCAACAGCTGGTGCATGGTAGGGGATATGATACACCCACTCAGGTGGCCCAGGTGTCTACGAGGCCATTCTTGAAATGGGTCCCATTATCAGACTCAATTCTCTCCGGGGTGCCGTGTCGCCACAGGACTTGTTTTTCAAGGCCCAGGATGGTATTCCGGGCAGTGGCATGAGGTACGGGGTATGTCTCCAGCCATCCAGTTCTTCCTTCTACCGCTTACCTTGGCGGGTTTTGGGGAGCGTGATGTAGTCAACTTGCCAGGCTTCCCCATACTGGTATTTCGACCATCGTCCACCATAGCATAGAGACTTCACCCGCTTGGCCTGCTTGATGGCAACACATGTCTCACAGTCATGGATGACCTGTGAGGCGATGCCCTTGGTTAAGTCCACCCCTCGGTCACGAACCCATCTGTATGTTGCATCTCTCCCCTGGTGACCGGAGGCATCATGGGCCCATCGAGCCAGAAATAATTCTCCTTTGTACTGCCAATCCAGATCTACCTGAGAGACTTTCATCCTGGCAGTTTGGTCTGCCTGCTCGTTGTTACGATGCTCCTCATTAGCCTGTTTCTTGCGTACATGAGCATCTATGTGACAGACCTTCACACTCAACTTCTCTACCCGACCAGCGATGTCCTGCCACATCTCTGCCGCCCAGATGGGTTTCCCTTGGCACTGCCAGTTGGCCTTTTTCCATCCATCCCCACAGAGCATTGGCCACCATCCATGAGTCAGTGTAGAGATAGAGTCTTGACCACTTCTCTCGTTCAGCTATATCCAAAGTCAACTGAACGGCTTTAAGCTCTGCAACCTGACTTGACCCAACTTGTCCTTCGGTCGCTTCTGCAACTCGGCATGTGGGACTCCATACGGCTGCTTTCCATTTTCGGTTTGTCCCTACAATGCGACAGGAGCCATCCGTGAAGAGTGCATATCACCTTTCATCTGCTGGTATCTTGTCATATGGTGGGACCTCCTCAACCCGTGTCACCTGCTCCTCTTCTTCTTCAGAGGATAGTCCGAAACTCTCACCTTCGGGCCAATTGGTGATAATTTCCAGAATCCCAGGGCGATTAGGATTCCCTATCCGGGTTCGCTGTGTGATCAGAGCGATCCACTTACTCCATGTGGCATCGGTGGTGTGATGTGTAGAAGGAACTCTTCCCTTGAACATCCAGCCCAGCACTGGTAGTCAGGGTGCCAGGAGGAGCTGTGCTTTGGTGTGGTTCACTTCTGAGGCAGCTCGAACTCCTTCATAAGCAACCAGGATCTCTTTCTCAGTTGGTGTATATCTGGCTTAAGATCCTTTGTATCCCTGACTCCAGAATCCCAGCGGTCATCCTCAGGTCTCCCCAGGCACTTTCTACCAGAGGCTCCAGGAAGGGTCATTCTTCCCAGTTGCAGTGTAGAGTACGTTCTTCACGTCCTGTCCTGTCCTTACTGGTCCAAGGGCTACTGCATGGGCAATCTCCTGTTTAATTTGTTCAAAGGCTTGTTGTTGTTCAGGGCCCCACTGGAAATCATTTTTCTTCCGTGTCACAAGGTAGAGAGGGCTTACAATCTGACTATACTCGGGGATATGCATCCTCCAAAAACCCACAGCGCCTATGTACCCTTTGTGCTCTGAAGATGGTGATGGTGGTGAAGACGTGGTCCCAAAAAACCCCCAGACTCAATTCTAAGGGGGTGGATCCGAGGCGGTCCAGAGCAAAGACCACGGGGTGGACACACTTGGGATTGGACAGATAATATTATAAAATGTAACATCTCGGGCACAGTTGCGCGCACGTCTTGTAACACCTATTGCCTTGGTACATTAAACCCTTTCCTTATCTCACCCCTAATTAACTGCTCCGGAGTTATTTTTTTTAACACCAACTTTCCACGGCATCATTGGTCAGAGTATTCACTGTTGGATCCTTGCATTGCCCAGCCAGAGGTCCCTTCATCAGGATCACAGGAATTGATCTCAGTCTTTCTGCTTCTCAAAGGTCGCTGATCTCTTTCCAGAGTCTCTGCATCAACTGCATGGACAGCTTTCTTATTAGGTTTCTTCCCTCTTAATTCTCGTACCCGGGCTTCAAGTTTATAGGTAGGTTCACCATCCCACTTCATGTCTTCCCCTTGATCATGCAGAAAGAACCATAGCTCACCACGTGGTCTGCTCTTGGGAATTCCTTTCCTTCTGAGTGGGGCAGGAGGAGACTGAGACCGATTCCTTAGGCTGTTTCTGTGGTAGTTCTCACATCTGGGGCACTCATAAGGCTTCTCCATCCTCTCCCCGGTGTGGGTGCGCCAGTGGTAGAGATCGGAGCTGTCTCTGAAATCTAACTTGCTGGTCTGTGGGAGTGAGGAGGCTTCCATACCTTCTGCTATACTCCGTATCCAGGCACACATTGTGTCCACGGTTGGTTCATTCATCCTTGGATGATATACTGTTATCAGGCAGTTAACATATGATACAGGGGCACCTTGAGTTACTTTTCTCCACATGGGCAGCGTGCAAGGGACATTCTCTGGATTTAGCAAGTGGTGATTGCCTGTGTCTCAAAAAATGATTTCCAGCACGGTCAATTCCTGCAGGTACTGGATGCCTTCCTCTGCAGTAGTCCACCTTCTTGGAGAACTCATTAGATCTTCTTCAAATGGGTACCTTTCTCTCACACCGAAGAGGATCCGGGTCCAAAGACTGCTAATAAATCTCTCCCTTCCAATTTCCTACTCAATTTCACGATCTCTGGCAATAGATCCTAGTTGTCGTGCTTCATGATCTTCTAATAGGTGACTACTGGCCCTGTTATCTCAGCATTGGAGCAGCCAGGTAAGAATTCGTTCACCAGGCTGGCAACTGTAATCTCTCCACAAGTCCCGAAGATCTGATGGGCTCAGGGATCGAGTAACTTCACTTTCCTGTCTAATTTCTTCTCTTCTTCTCTCACATGGAAGCGCTCCCACTCCCTCTAATAAATCACCGGCTATTTGTCCTGCCTCCCTTTCTTCTCTTGGAGGCACAGGCGGGGTAGATCCTACTCCTTCTTCCTCCCTTACTAATCGCGGAGGTAGACCTGTAGGTCCTGAAGATCTCCTTACCCATGTCTTCCTTTTCACTACAGGGGCAATAGTGACTTCAGATGTTGTAGTTTGGGTCCCTGTCTCAGTCATAGTCTTTTTAGAGTATTGAACAGCAGCTTGGTAGGCACAGGCCAGGCCCCAGTACAGGGTGAGAAGTTGTTGGTTTTGATCAGGGTAGGCAAAGCATCCTTCCATTAAATGACATGTCAGTTTGTTGGGGTTGAATACTTGTTCTGGTGTGAAGTCCCAGGCAACAGGAGGTGTTAGACGCCCTAAGAACCTGCCTAAATTCATCCACATCCCTTGCCACCCAGGAACTGGTCCCTTTAGAGAACATCCCAGTAAATTCTCTCTCCAAGTTGGTTTGGTCCTAACACAAGGCAACGAAAACAGCACTACCTTCCCCACTCCCCATAATGTTTTAAGAGTGTTGGTTATAAGCAGCAGTATAGCCAGACAACTCAGGTAAGGATTAGTAAGGATCGCGGGTGCTTTCATTACCAGACCCTCTATGTCAAAATTAAGAAGGGAAAATAAATTGATTTTATCCCCTTCTAGGTCTTTTAAGGGGTAAGTTCCACATCCTATCAAAACTGTTAGAAAAATTACAGGTATAACCACTAAAACTTGGTGGATTGCCATGTTCTTGTTATATATTCCTGGGTTAGCAAAACAAACAGTTAAGTGAGGCAGTTGTTTATATAAACAATCTTCCCTTGGCAGTCTTACCAGGTTTAGGTACCAAATTTGTAGCTGTTTACTTTGACTGAACACCAGGTGTCCACCGAGGCTGCGCAGATCCCCCTCCCCCCCAAGAAGGGGAGATGAAAGAAAAAAACATAAAACCTGGGGTTTACCAAGAAAGACAGTTTATATTCGCACGAAGAAAAAGGAAAGGAACTAATAGTACCACAAACACACAGGTAAAGGAAACCAACAGAAAAACTCTACCTCCCCCAAGAAGCGGTGTCTCAGACAGGCGCACTTGTCTACAGGGCCATCCCAGAAGGAGAACAAGGGCTGAGCTACCTCTCCCTCCCCTTTTATAGCCGGGTTGACGTAACATGGCATGGAATATCTTCCTGTTTCTCCCAGGAAAAGGAAATGTTATTTAACTACACAAATCCACTACAACCCAAAAATCCCCTTCAAAAGGAAACAGCTCAGTACCTTCTGCTTTTTGGTGTAATTCTAACCACAGTCAGCAGGGGGTGCTGTTGGATCACTGGAGGAGCAGAACCTGCAGTTACTCGGTGGTGGGTGAGGCCCCCGTGTGCAGGGGAAGACGACAGTAGAGATTTCCCTCCCGCTGAGAAGGGGAAGGGGAAAAGGGGAAAGAAGGTGGGGTCTTCCCACAAAAACTCATGCTGTCTGCAGCTGGCTGTGGCCAGGATTTCTCCCCTTTCATTGATGGGCACAAACTGCTGCCAGACACAGGAGCAGAGGAGGGAAAGGGCGACCTCCTCCCCAAAAAGTTCCTCTGCAGATGGGTCAAGCCTCTCCCATGAAATCCGAGCAGATCTGGGCTGGGAGCAGAACAGGGCGCAGGCAAGCCAGGACCAGAAAACAGCCAGATGACTAGGCCGAGAACAAAACACCTCGGAACCTTTCCAACACACACCTTGCCTGAGTTAAGGCAAAAGAGCAGTGCCCCCGTTTCCCAGGAGAGAAGAAAAAAAACTCATCACCCCTCCCCACATGTCTTAGGAGGATCATCAGCTTGGAATGCAGGTCTGCTAGTTAGTTCTTCTTTGTAGGTCAATCACCCAAGGCAAAACACCCTCCCCCATTCAACATCTTTCTTTTACAGTGAGGCAGGGGAAAGAAAAATTCCCTGCTTGGTTTTTTAGAACAAGTAAACCTATGACAGTCTCCATTGTCTTCCTCAGCTTGTCCTTTGCTTGACCCCTTGCTTTTGGCGCAACATCACGTCTTCTGGAATGGTTTCAAGGTCTACAACCAGCTTAAACTTGTTTACTAGTCTCGTGTCCCTTTTTATCAGTCCTGTTTCACAGATAGAGGAACCTTCTACTTGGTTAAAATTCCTGCCTGTTGAAACTCAACAAAAAATGATAAACTATATAGTTTAGGTTACACTGGTAAAGTATACAGTCACTAATAAGTTACATAGTTCCTTATGGCTGCAACAGATGTGCAGGTATACTGCACGCCCCTCCTGGTGAAAGAAAACTGTGACCTACACTCTGCTGCTAGGGAAATGGAGAAAAAGGCATTTGTAATGTCAATTGTGGCATGCCACTTCACTGCCCTGGACTACAGTTCATACTGTTGCCTTGGAGTTTTTTGATTTTTTAATTTTTTGTAGATTTTAGAAGTAGTTGTATTTATTATATCCCTCACCCTTTAGCATAGTAGTTACACATACCCAACCCCATTACCCCATTCCATATCAATTTCCTCTAAATTCCAGTAGTATATTTAGTCTCTTTTTCATGGTAGACCTTCATTCTGTTAAAGAACATCTGCACATTCTGTTGAATTCAGTTGGGATGTGCACCTGGACTGGAATAACAAGAGATATGGTATACAAAACAAGATAGAAGGCTCAAGACCCTTGAAGGGGCTCCAGTGGGGCAGTTCTGAGGGTGGTACCAGGGCAAAAGGGGTCTTAGGATTGGATGTCCCCATTAGATATGATAATTTGTAAAAGATATAAAAGTGTAAGAATTCTGTATGCAGGCTCGCACCTTTGTACTCCGTGGCAGGAAGGCCTTCATTAAAAGAGCTGCTCTCTACCTTATCTGATATTGCCTGGAGAGTCTTTTTCTCCTGATGATCTTTAGGCATCAGTTGAGTGAGGTCTTTTCACAGATTATGCAACACGTCTTAGAGACTCACTGGTTGTGAAGGCTCTGGTTTCCTGTCCTTGCTAACTGGGCATACTGACTTAGTTTTATATTTTTCCTTTTGCATAGAGGCGACTGCTGCTGGCTGTGGCTGCCCTTGTGCTTTGGCTGTAGGCTGGGTGATCATGATGTCTGTTGGTTTTCCTACTGCACTATTTTCCTTCCCCTCTGACTTTAGGTGGTGCTGTACAGTTAAGACCATGGTACGATAAGCGTTGGCCAGGGTCCAGCACATTACAATGAGTTGACCCTCTCTGGAATTGATAGAGTGTTTTCCTTTCAAGTACTCTGTAATCTTACTAGGGATCTGTGTTTGGTCAGGGGGGAGCTTCCAAACTATTGGGGCAGAATATTCCTATCTCTTCCCACACCCCCATCCAATCAGGGTGGTTCATGTCTGGAGCAGGTTGTGGGGCCATGTTCCCAGCCCCTGGGGAAGTTTTTGGGCAACATCCTTGGTGTCTCAGGAAGATGTCTGGGCAGCGTCCCTAGTTTCTGGAGTAGATCTTGGGGTAACTCTTGGGGTAGCTACCCAAGAAAACCTCAGTCTGTCTCTAAATACATAGTGGACCGTAGTCAATAAACATGGAAGAAGCATCAGCAAGAATATGGTCTCTTTAACATCTAGAGGGAATTTAAACTCCTCAAAAACTGTTGTGGTGGGCCTGAAGGAGAAATACGTAAAGGGTTTGGAAAAAACACTCCCCTGCGTTCGTCCCCCAAAATAGGTGCCATTATCAGTAAACTCCCAAGGACTATAGCTTAGGTTATGATATTAACACAGCCCTGAAAGCATATTCCACCGGAAAATTATAGGCATTGAATTTACCACCCCATGAATCCACTTTATGAACTGAATAACAACCACAGTTGCCCTGGTTATAGGATCCATATTGAGGTAACCACCTGTAAACAGAAGACGTGTTCAGGAATACAGACTAAAAAAAGAAGAGCAAATTAGATCACATGATGCCTGAGGGGGATTCTATATCCAATCCACAAATAAATTGCTCAGAACTGTTATTTTGTTTCTACTTTTCCTCTCTTGCCACACGTTGGGCACCAATTATTTTCTTGGTGTAAAGACAATGTATGCCAGAGAGGCGGGGCCTCCAATGGAATAGAGGAACCCTCCCTCTCAGACTTAGTGTAAATTTGAAAAATGAGACTTTTTGAGCAACATGTAGAAACAAAATAAACAGTTTACTAAAAACACAGGGAACAAAACAGAACAAAAACAACACCCACACAATAACAGAGAAAAAATATATCACACAGAAATTACTTTTTCACTTCTGCATTGCCGAGGCAACAATTCAGTCCCGACGCAGTGATATGATCACAGTGGAGCCGGGACAAAACCACTGTTGTGCCATGCAGACAATGTGGAGAGGTTCACAAAGGGTCTCCCCAATGCGGCCACTGGGGTGGTGGGGTGGTGCTTAGGCAGCGTGGATGAAAAATGGCAGAAAGCATCAGCAGCTCCCAGCGGCAGGAGCACAGGGTGGCACAGACTCCATGCAGCAAGGGATAGGTTGTCGTGGTGGAAGCGTGGGGCTATAAATGGTGGTCCAAAGTGAGATCCTTTTGAACTCTTGATTCCCAAAAGATAAGGGGCTAATGTGTATGTCTCAAACACCAATAACCAGATGGCTGTGGAGTCAATCAAGGACTGTTAGTAATCACAGACAAAAATTGTTGGTAATAATCAAGGACTATTGGTATTAATGTGCTGTGAGAAAGAACTAGTTTTGGCTATAGAAGGGGGGCCAGGTAGAGACAGGGCATGACTTTTCTGTGAGAAAGAATCACAACACAGTACAGTGCAAGTGCAGGAATGAGTGGCAGGAAGTGGGCATGGACTATTAGGTGGGATTAAGATCACCAAAGACCCCCAAAGCCCTCTGATCCATTTCCAGAAAAACCTGAAAGAATGGACTGGGCATGATATTTTGGGGCAGAGAAATCTTGTAACAGACAGATAACATACAAATGCCAAAAATTATGTTTCGCCATTGTTTCTGCCTGTCAAAAACTTCCTACCAAAAATTCTGTGTCAGTTTTCCACCAGAAGTTCTCACCAGGATTTTCCCACTGGAGTTTTCCTGCCAAAAGATCCTGGTATTGTTCATGGTTATCATATCTCTGCGAACATCTGAATAGGGCTACGTGCCAAGAAACCACAAACAACCTCCTTTGAATACTATAAAAGATGAACAGGAATTTGGGAAGAGCAGGGAAAGAGGAATGGAAGTGAGAGTTGGCTACAACAGCTAACTCGCCCTCGCCCTCTGCCTCGCCCTCACCTTTTCTTCTGCCACCTGGAAGCTACCTGCCCGAGACTGGACCTCTGCCGTCTTGAAGTGGACTGAGACCCACCGTGCTACCCGCGTGAGTTTTTCCACCCTGACCATATTTCTGAGGGCCGAGAGGTGCAGACCTAGACCTCTGCACGGCCTGGGACCGTCCGGTGTGAGTGGCATGAGCAACGGAGAGGTCCGCATCCTGGTTGCATTCCAGAGAACTAAGACCCCCTGCAGCTAAAGAGATAACATCACATCGAAGGCGGCAGAGACCGAAAAAAAAAAAAAAGGCAAAAAACTGCTTCTCTCTCTCCCCCCTCACCTTCCAGACCAACTTGGATACAAAGGTAGTTTTTGGTGGTAATCTTTTGTCTGCTTCTAAAAGTAATCTTAGCATTTTCTAACCTTTCCTTATTTTTTCCTTTCTCTTTGCATCTCTTAGCAATTAATAAAAACAGTTTTGGTATCAACAGATAACTTGTATGAGTTTTAATTTTGCTCAAGGGAATATTCAAATCTAAAATTCTTTCTGCAATATTTAAGCAGATTGTAACAAATCTGCCCATAAAAAGGTCACCCTCCAAGTCCGGGTGGCGCCCTCAGGACCCTGGGCATCTCATTGGCTGGACTGACACAGTTGGATCAACGCTCATCAGCTGGATCGATGCTAAAAACAGGACTGGTGATCTCTTTCTCTTTTTCTCTCTTTTCTCCTCTCTTTCTTTCTTTAATCCTCTCTTTTTTTGTCCCTTTTTAATTTCTCTTTTCCCTTCACCCTACCCCTTTATCCATAATCCACTGCTATGTGCCCATATAGTAGGTCAGGTACTAACATACCAATTTCCATGCCAAGTATGTAATTTACTAATAAAACTCTCTGATTATTTGCAGACCCTCTGACTTTTGTTGTTCCTTTGATCAATGAGTGTTTACAAATCTTAGGTGCTTCCTCTCCCTTAAAGGGTGAGTCATCACAGTTAGCAACCAACCCCAAGCCAGTAGGTTCGGCTAATTCACAAGAGAAGGGAGGTGCAGGAGCAGGAGGAAGAGTCATCCCTGTGCTACTGATGTGCCTCTGCGAAACAGATATTGGTGCCTAAAAGCCAGAAAATAACTTTTTAAGACTCTTTTTGAGTATTAGAAAGCAAAAAGTAATCATTTATTTACAGCATACTGTTTACTTACAGCATTTCCAAAGTACGCACACGGACTTACAGAGGTGCTATAGTTTTATACTATAATATCTAACATTACATCATCTGTTACTCCCACTTCCTAAAACTGTTCATCCCACAGCACCACCTTCGCCCCACCCATGACACACCTTCCGAATTTGAGTCGGAGGTCTCGATGAACCTTTATCTTCATCTTGTCTTCCTCTTCCTTGTCATCTCTGTCCTTCTTGGAACAATGTCAAGGCCTCTGGGTCTTCTGAAAAATTTTGACTTGTTTATATCAAGCGACATGCCTGTTATGACTTGTTCTAATATTTTTTACAGATAAAATGTTCTCTACCTTGCCAAAAATCTTTTGTTGTTGGAATTCTTGACAAGGAATTGTTATAGGTTATAAATTCCATAGGGGAATTTTTCTTCCCCTGTTCCACTCTAGGAAAAAACGGAGTGAGTGGGGGGAAGGGAGTCAATTAGCTTTACAAAAGATCTGACCGAATTCCTAGCTAATGGCCCATCAGAGAGGTTGAGGGGAGAGGAGAGAGAAGTTTTGGGAGGGGAGAGGCAGACAGCGAAGCTCTCTCTCTTGGACAGAGACGGGGGTCTGCGTGCAGGCATTTGGGGAGAAGGACTGGGGATCTGGCTTTTTGGTTTCTAATTCTAGTCAACTCGGACTACTGGCCTCAACTTGTCTGCGAACTGTCTCTTGTCTCCAACCCGGATCTGCTGTGTTTCATCAGAGAGTTGCGTGCCCACCGGGAGAAAAGGGAGGAGTTTTGAGACACCGTCATCTGAGACAACAGTGAGTCCCGTGGGAGTGAACTGCTTCCCTTCCCTTTTTCTCCCATTGAGGGAAGGGTCCCCCATTTTCTTTTCGGCTTCTCTGGCGATCTGAGACCACCCCCCCCAGCCCCCCTCTCCGCGTGGTGACCGCCAGAGCCCAACAGTGCCCCCTGCAGGCCACGACAGAGTTTTAAATTAGATGTTAGGAAGAAATTCTTTACTCAGAGGGTGGTGAAGCACTGGAACAGGTTGCCCAGAGAGGTTGTGGATGCCCCATCCCTGTAAGTGTTCAAGGTCAGATTGGATGGGGCCATGAGCAACCTGACCTAGTGACTGACATCCCTGCCCATGGCAGGTGGGGTTGGAACTAGATGATCTTTAAGGTCCTTTCCAACCTAAACCATTCCATGATTCTATGATTTTATCTAAGTGATAACGGAGCAAGAAACAAGAAAAGTGCCCTGTACTGTATCTCTGTACTGACTCCTGGATGGTGGCTAATGCCCTTTGGGGGTGGCTGCAGGCATGGAAGAAGACCAATTGGCAATGCAGGGGTAAACCCATCTGGGCTGTTGCATTGTGGCAGGACATCGCTGCATGGGTAGAAAACATGACTCTGAAGGTGTGTCATGTAGATACTCACATGCCCAAAAGGTGTGTCACTGAAGAACATCAGAACAATGAGCAGGTGGATAAGGTTGCCAAGATTGGAATAGCTCAGGTAGACTTAGACTGGGAGTAGAAGGGTGAGCTATTTATAGCCCGATGGGTCCATGAAACATCAGGACATCTAGGAAGAGATGCGACATACAGATGGACTCGTGATCAAGGGGTGGACCTGACCATGGAGGTCATCACACAGGTCATTCATGAATGTGAAACGTGCTGCAATCAAGCAGGTCCACGTGAGTAAAATCCCCCTTCAACAGAGGACAGTGGCTGGGTTTCCAATATGGTGAGGCCTGGCAAATTGACTACATTGAACCACTGCCATGAACACGCCAAGGCAAGAGTTACATACCATGGTGGTGGCAATGACTAGCTGGTTGGAAACATATCCTGTAAACCAGGTCACTGCTCAAAACACCATCTTAGGCCTTGAGAGGCACATTCTGTGGTGACATGACACCCCAGAGAGAACTAAATCAGACAATGGGACTCATTTTCGAAATAACCTCATCAACTCTTGGGCAAAGAAACATGGCATTGAGTGGATATATCACATCCCTTATCATCCACAAGCCTCTGGGAAGATTGAAGACTATGTTAAGAGCATTAGGTAATGGGACATGGAAGCATTGGGAGGCAAATTTAGCTGAGACCACTTGACTGGTCAACACTAGGGGATCTGCCAACCACCCTGGTCCTGCCCAAACAAAATCTCTACATACTGTAGGAGGAGAGAAGGTCCTAATACTACACATGAGTAAGTGACTGGGGAAGTTAGTGTGGGTTTCTCCTCCCATGGGAAAAGGTAAACCCATCCATGGGATTGTCTTTGCTCAGGGACCAGGGTGTACTCAGTGGGTAATGTGGAAGGATGGGGAGACCTAGTGTGTGCCTCAAGGAGATTTAACCTTGGGGAAAAATTATTCTGTGGTTTAAGCTGTATGTTGAAGGAAGTAAAGTAGCAGGCCAATGAAGAATGAATTTTGCAAGGAGAGCGCGAGCCAGGTTGGTGTCAGTGCCCAACGATCAATTGCGCTGCTTCTCCTGTCCTGAGTACCTGTCCTGATGGAATGGAGCCCCAGATCTGGAGGCGTGGAAGAAGCCCATGAAAATGGGAAAATAATATCTGCCTGTGAAAGGATGGGGGATAGTAGTCAATGAAAATATATAAATCTGTACCTTGGGTCTAAAGATGGTTTAAGAATGTAGTTTAAATTGTATGTATTGGTTAGAAGGGATTTCAGTAATGAGAAATAAATACAATGGAATAGTGAGAAGATATATAAATTATGTGGGATCTGAATATGATGCAAATGGTATGGAATAAGGGGTGGAGATTGTATTGGGTCTGGCTGAGATGGAGTTCATTTGCCCACAGCAGCCCTCACAGTGCTGTGATCTGCATTGGTAGCTAGAAATGTGTTGAGAGTACACCAGTATTCTGGCTACTGGTGAGCAATGCTGTCTCTCAACATTCCTCCCCCTGTTCCCTCTTCCCATCGAGGGGCAAGGTGGGGGGTCAGGAAAGATCCTGGGAGGCGACACAAGTAAAGTGGCTGACCCAAACTAGCCAAAGGGATATTGCAGACCATATGATGTCAGCTCAAATATAAAAGCTAAGGAAAGGAGGAGGAAGGGGGGGCATTCATTATTTACAGTGTTTGCCTTCTGAAGCAACCGCTCTGCATGCTGAAGCCCTGCTTCCTGGAAAGTGGTCAGACATCGCTTGCTAATGGGAAGTAGTGAATAAACCTTACTGTTTTCCTCTTTGCTTGTGCGCACGCAAACTTTTGCTTTTGCTTTAGTAAACTGCCTTATCTCAACCTAGTAGTAGTTTACCATCTTATTCTGTCTCCCCTGTGCAGATAGGAAGGGGAGTGATAGAACAACTTGGTGGGCACTTGGTGTGCAGCCAAGGTCAACTCACCATATTAACGTTAAGTTTTCCAACATTAATGATTCTATTATTCTATGACTAGGAAATAATTCTTCAAGGAAAGGGTTGTAAAGCATTGGAACAAATTGCCCAGAGAAGTGGTAGAGTCACCATCCCTGGAAGTATTCAAAAAAACATGTGGATATGGCACTTGAGTACATCCTTGTCTCAGTTTAACGAAACAGAAATGTTTCGTTAGGAGGGCGGGATATAGGAAAAAAACAAACTCCTCCCTCTGAGTAATTATAACTTTGAAATTAGGATGCTCCAGTCGAAAGGTGTGGAAAGGAAAATAATAGTTCTTTACTAAAATATATATATATATAGGTAACATAACAAAAAAAGGTAAAAAAAAAAGCAACAATCCCATAACCCAATTTCCACCGAAAACAATTAAGTCCTTTTTGCCTTTCAACGCAGTTATAACCACACCCAGCAGGGGGCACTGTTGGGCCTCCGGAGGAGCCGAGGCTGCAGTTGCTCTCCGATGGTTGGCAGATGTCGCTGTAAGAGCACATAAGTCTAGAAGTTAAGAAGTACATAATTATAGAAGTTTAGAATTTAAGAAAGTGTATTGTGTAAACTTTAGATTATTCACTATATATTAGTAAAAGAAAGTTTATCTATTTGGTCAAGAAGCTTTAACATTATAAGGTACTAAAGAATTATAATTTTTTAGCTCATAAAACACAGTGATATGGAATTCAAAAGTATGCTTGTATGAATGTTGACAGTGGCCACTGTGAGAGCTTGTGTGTGTGAATGTATGATGATTGATGTGTTTTGGTCCATCAAATACACAAACATTTTTAAATAAACACAGAAGACACATAACTCAAAAATGAATAGAGTTCCATCCACAAGTGTTTTAGACTGAATAAAGATTTTCAAGAATAAATCCTATATTTAGAAAAGTACTTTTAAGAAAATTTTAAGAGCACAAACCTTGAAGTTAATAAGTTGTTAAGTTTGTTAATGCACTATTATTGTAATATGTAATCATGTTTATTGATATGTTATTAGTACAATAAAGAGTGATACAGAAATGCAATATAAATTGTTCAAAAATCAAAAGGGGGATTTGTCGTAAGGCAAAAATTGTGTGAACAATTTCTATTGCATTTCTGAGATTTTTGCCTTAGCATAGCTGAGTGCTGATAGTAAAAATTACTGCGCCACTAAGATGGCTACAGGGCCTGAAGTTAGAACAAAGGTGGATTCATGCCAGATGCCAAGGAGGAGTTTTGGCAAAGTGAATAAGGTGTTCTCATCTCCTATGACCACCTGTTGTAGTCCAATTAACAGTGGACAGCAGAGTATGTTTTCCTTATGTAACCAATGTAGTGTGAACAAGAAACTAAGCGTCATAAGCACTATATAATCTGTCTTTCTTCTAATAAAGACGACATTTTGCCTGATCATATTGATGTAAGAGCATCTGTCCGTGCCCTTCCACCCGATAAGACAGTCCTTGATGGACCTCTCCAGTGTGAGTCCATCCCTCGGGCAGCAGTTCTTCCCAAACTGCTGTCCTGTGGGTCACTCCTCCATGAGATGCAGTCCTGTGGGTCACTCCTCCATGACATGCAGTCCTTCACGAATGAGCTGTACTGGCGTGGGTCCCCCACAGGGGCCACAAGTCCTACCCAGGAAAAACCTGTTCCAGCGTGGGCTTCCCTCTCCACGGGCTGCAGGTCTCTGGCAGGACCCTGCTCCATCCTGGGCCTCCCATGGGATCACAGCCTCCATGCATCCACCTGCTTCTCCATGGGCTGCAGGTGGGTCTCTGCACTCCGATGGTCCTCCATGGGCTGCAGGGGGACAGCCTGCTCCACCATGGTCTTCACTACGGGCTGCAGGGGCCACAGCTCCGGCGCCTGGGGCACTCCTCCCCCTCCTTCTGCACTGTCCTTGGTGTCTACCTTGTTATTCCCGTGTTCTTACTCCTCTCTTCCCTGTCTGGAATTTCTTCTGCGCAACAATCTTTTGTTCTTAAATATGTTATCACAGAGGCATTACTATTACTTCTAATTGGCTCGGCCTTGACCAGCAGCAGGAAGTCCATCCTGGAGCCGGCTGACATTGGCTCCATGGGACAGGGGAAGCTTCTAGCAACTTCTAACAGAAGCCACCCCTGTAGCCCCCCCCCCCGCTACCAAAACCCAGCCACAGAAACCCACTACACTGGCCCAGAGGCTCTGTGCATTCCTGGCATAGACTGTCTCAGGAGAGGACATTTCAAGGACCCAACAGGGTGCTGGTGGGTGTTAGATATAGGGTGTTGGTATAGTAATGAGGCCTACAGCCATGAGATATGCCATGAAATGTGTGGCTAAGGTATTTCTGTGGACATGATGGTGTGCTGAGGGGGTGATATGTTATTAGGTGGAGGTTGGGTAACCCTTACCACTGCAAGTGGCCAGGTGGAAGAGGAAGTGATACTAATGTGTCATGGTTCTGTTCTGCTCTTGCGCGAGACTCATAGTCTTTGTAATCTCTCTTTGTAACTCTTGATATCCCTCATTTATGTATAAATTGGCTGCCCCTCCACAATTTATGATGCCAACAACAGGATATTTGACTACAGTCTCATCTCCACTTCTCCCAAAAGTATAAACTGGCATCTGAAATCCTCCATGGCAGAGGATGAGAATACGACCACATTGCAGACAAGTTGATGAGTTTACTCCTCTCTCCTGCCTAAAGCAGGGATGCATATTTGGTAAGATTTGCTCCTCCAACTGCATTGGAGTATTCCCAGAAACACTTGTACATACTCTTATATTTTGCAGGTCTAGTGAATTTATCACCATCAGTTTAACAGAATCTATAATCTGTTGTTCCAATAAATGGCACTATTTGTTCGTGCTGTATCTGTGTTCGTGAAAGTTCCTATTGAACTTAATCAGACTTATAGTGTTGAATTGGTTAAACCACACTATTTGTGAATCTGTGATCATGAATGATGAGACCAGACTGAGTGTGCAATCCACACTTTTTCTGCATCTGGAATCTTATTGAATTCGACCAGACTTATAGTGCCAAATTCGTTCTAATCAGAAATTAAGCCCAACCACACCCTCTCCTTTTACTTTGGACTCAGGGGGCCAAAGAACACCACTCTGTTCATGCCCCAGGGTGCTGGGTTATATATTTGGGTTTTGTGGGTTAAAACCAACTGTTTGTCTGTATAATCGTACTTATTGTATTATTTTATTAAATTGTTATTCTGACTTATAATCTCTCTTTTGGGTTGAGTTCATTTCCCCTGCTGGTTCACCTTTAAACCAGTACAGTAAGGAAAAAGAGAGAATAAGAGTTAAAGAGAGAAAGAAAGAAAGAGATAAAGAATAAAAGGTTCATAGTCACCACTCAAAGGTCTCCAGTAAACTTGGTTGTTGCCACTGCTGTCTTGGTCTGTCAGGGAGTGGTGGGGGAGAGAAACCCACGAAACATAAAATTGGGTGGGTTTATATACCCTCAGAAACCCTTCTGGTGCCTCCCCCGTGTGTGTGTGTGTGTGTGTGGAGGGGTTACACAGTTATGCTGGTTTTGCAGAGAGCTGGAGGTACTGGTTTTTGCAAAGTTATTTTAGGTTTGGGGGGGGGGAGGTGTGCTTCAGAGGCACCCCTGCTAAGAGCTGAGGCCTTCTCCAGGGTAGTCGTGGGTGTGTGCACACAGGGACCTCCTTTGACACAACCTGACCCGTAGGAGATAAACATCACACAGCCAGAGAGTGCCACTGGTCTCCTTTAGATAGGCATCACACACCTAGAGAAGTGTCACACACTCAAAGAGTTACCCCTCCGGGCCTTCACAAAGTTAACAGTTTGTAGGCTATGGCCTCCTCCCCTCAACCTTTATCTTCACTCTCCTGACTTCTTTGCACAGCTCACTATAGTAGCAATGTTTTAAGGCAATGAAAAAGTCCAGTTCCTCACAGTGATGAGTGACAAGACCCAAGGGAATGGTCTGAAGTTGTGTCAGGGGAGGTTTAGGTTGGATATTAGAAAGAGGTTCTTTACCCAGAAGAAGGTTGGGCACTGGAACAGGCTCCCCAGGGAAGTGGTCACAGCACTAAGCCTGACAGAGTTCAAGAAGCATTTGGATGATATCCTCAGGCACATGGTGTGACTCTTGGGGATGGTCCTGTGCAGGGCTAAGAGTTGGACTCAATGGTCCTTTCCAACTCAGCATATTCTGTGATTCTGTGATTCTGTAATACAGCAGAAGTTGTTTATGAGAAAGGGAAGAAAATAGTCCAAATCCTCCTGAAAGACAGTTTTACCATGAAACAAAGTAAGGTCAAGAGACCTGCACAGAAGATCCAGTTTTTAGAAATAAAATGGCAAGATGGAGATCATCAGATCCCAGTGGATGTGATTAACAAGATTACAGCAATGTCTCCACCAACTAACAAGATAGAAACACAAGCTTTTTTAGATGTTGTGGGGTTTTGGAGAATGCATATTCCAAATTATAGTCTGTCAGCCCTCTCTATCAAGTAACCCAGAAGAAGGATTTGAAATTGGACCCTGAACAATGACAAACCTTTGAACAAATCAAACAGGAGATAGTTCATGCTGTAGCCCTTGGGCCAGTCTGAACAGGACAAGATGTAAAAAATGTGCTTTGCAATGCATCTGGGGAGAATGGCCCTACCTGGAGCCTCTGGCAGAAAGCACCAGGGGAGACTCAAGGTCGACCTCTAGGTTTTTGGAGTTGGGGATATAGAGGATCTGAAGCCCATTATACTCCAACTGAAAAGGAGATACTGGCAGTTTATGAAGGGGTTTGAGCTGCTTCGGAGGTGATTGGTACTGAAGCACAGCTCCTCCTGGCACCCCGGTTACCCATGTTGAGGTTGGATGTCCAAAGGGAGGACCTCCTCTACACATCATGCAACTGATGCTACATGGAGTAAGTGGGTCCCATCGACCATAAAATGAGATCAGATAGGAAACCCCAGTAGTCCAGGAATCTTGGAAGTGATCGTGGACTGGCCAGAAGGCAAAGATTTTGGAATGTCACCAGGGGAGGAGGTAACACATCCTGAAGAGGTTCCACTATATAATAAATTACCAACAAGTGAGAAGCAATATGCCTTGTTTACTGATGCATCCTGCTGTCTTGTGGGAAAGCATCAGAGGTGGAAAGTGGTTGTATGGAGTCCTCTACGACAAGTAGCAGAAACTGATGAAGGAGAAGGTGAATCAAGTCAGTTTGCAGAGGTGAAACCCATACAGTTGACCTTAGACATTGTTGAATGAGAGAAATGGCCAATACTTTATACTGGCTCATGGATGGTGGCAAATGCCCTGTGGGGGTGGTTGCAGCAATGGAAGCAGAATAACTGGTAGCATAGGGGTAAATCCATCTGGGCTGTTGCATCATAGCAAGATATTGCTGCCCAGGCGGAGAACCTGGTTGTGAAGGTACATCATGTAGATGCTCATGTACCCAAGACTCGAGCCACTGAAGAACAGCAGAATAACCAGCAGGTAGATCAGGATGCCAAGATTGAAGTGACTCCTGTGGATTTGGATTGGCAATATAAGGGTGAATTATTTCTAGCTTAGTGGGGCCCATGATGCCTCAGACCATCAAGGAGGGGATGCAACATATAGGTGGGCGCATGATCAAGGAGTGGACTTGCCCATGGACACTATTACACAGGTTATCCATGAATGCGAAACATGCCCTGCAATTAAGCAGGTCAAACAGGTAAAACCTCTCTTGGGTTAAAGACAATGTTGCCAGGGAAATGGGACCTTAGATGGAATAGAGATTCTTACCTCCCGGACTTATTACAAATTTTAAAAAATTAAAATGAAACTCATGAGGAAGGACTAGAAACAAAGTAACAATTTTTACTAAAAACCAGGGAAAAAACCAAAATAAAACAACAAACACACAATAACAGAGAAAGAATATCACCCCAAAATCACTGTCCACTTCTGTGTCGCTGAGCCAGCAATTGGGCTTTCCTTCAGTGCAGTTACAGCTGTGGTCAGAAGGTGGTGCTGGAGGGCTTTCCCAGTGGCAGCAGGCTACAGAGGCAGCTGTGGCTACCAGGAAGAGGCAGTCAACAATGGCGGCCACGGGCAGCAGGCGCTTTTCCATGGGCAGCGTCGGTCACGTGGTGTGGCGGTAGCTCTCTTCAGGCAGTCCACAGCGGAGGGTGTGAAGTGGG